GTAATTTCTTGAGTAATTATCTTAGTTTTATTTACCCTTTGAGATTTTATTTGAAGTTACGAAACTAACGTAATAATGCTTTTTTGGGATAAGAGAATAGTGGTATCTAATTTCAACTATCAGCAGTTTTTTGTAAAGAAGCCAAAGGATGATTTTAGTCGCAGTGGTCATATTAGGCTAATACGATCGCTACTTGGTCAAGGGTGCAGTTTAGAGAAGTTAAAGCTATTTGCTAATAATGATATGAGGCCTGAGTAGCTAAACTAACGGTCAGAAAAATTTTAATTTTCACCTGAGGTAAAACTTGAGAAGCAATATCTCGTTTAGCTACTATTTAACCCTTAAGACAAGTTAAAATCTTACTAAAACTGACAAATAATTTGCTACAATTCAGATGCAGAGAAAGTTAAGTGGTTAACTGGCTTATTTTAGGAGAGTTTAACTCCTTCTGTTTTTTTTTTAAGTATACCATTAGTTTTGATTTATTAGCAGTATTTTTGTCATTCAGCTAAGAGCGATGGAGAAATAGTCCAAAATCTTTAAATTTTAGGATTGATTAAAGGTAATCCTAATTTTTTAAATTATTAGTTAATGTTTTTTTATTTTTTATTTTTAAAAAAAAATTACAGATACTTACTGGAATCCGTTTAGATCCAGAGTCTGACTATATTACTCATATATAGAGCAGTTTCTAAAGTTAAATAACCCCCTTTCACTATTTAGTATCTTTTATTAGAGGTAAATCTATATAGTAGAATGATTTGTTAATATCTTTTTTTTATAATTTTTAAAAAACTAACGCTAAACTTATTTTTATAGAATAGATCCTTAAAATCTTATTATAGGTATACTCTAATGAAAAAATTTATTAATTAAATTTTTTTTAAACTTTAAAAAAATTATATCAATTTACCTTTGTAGAATGATTTTAATTCTTAAATTTTGAATCAGAGGTAAGTCTAATTAAAAAAATTTGTCTTTTAAATTTTTTTTTAATTTTTTAAAATAAAATTAAAAACTTACCTTTGTAGAATCAATTCAGAAACTATAAATAATAGAATCTTAGATTATAACTAAGTCCTAATGAAATAATTAATATTTTTTTTTTAATAAAATTAATATTTACTCTTACCTTTGTAAAATAATAAAAATTCTTGAAAGCTTGAGTTTTAATCAGATTAGAGGTAAGTTTTAATGGTGAATTTTTAATTTTTTTAAAAAAAGTCACTTATATTAGCTTTAATTTATCTTTATAAAAATTGTTCAAATCTTTAATACCTTGAGTTAAAATTAGATTAGAAGTAAGATCTAATAAGAAATATTAAAATATTTTTTAATTTTAAAAAAACTAATATTAATTTACTTTTTAGACTAATTCAGAATCTTAGATTGAAGTAAATCCAATTTGTTAATTTTTTAATATAAAATGAATATTTACTACTTATTTTTGTATTATTTTTTGTATATTTTAGTCTTAAGTTTTCTGGAAAATTAATTTTGATGGGTGGGTTAGTTTCATTTTTAAAAATATATATTAACAGTTTTTCTTTTTTTTTATAAATTTTCATTAAGAATATAGATTACTATCCAAAATTCAACTTTAAAGTCTGCAATATTGCAGATTTAGAATCAATTGTGAACTCATCTTTAATATTTGTTAATGAATTAATGCATATATTTTAAATTAATTTTTATTTATATATTTATATCATTAAATATAAATAAAAAATAAATAAATTTGAAAAAAAATATTATTTGTATTATTTTCTTTGTATATATTATTATTTTATTAAATTAATGTAAAATTTTCTGTATATAAAATTTTATACAAATTGCCTTTGAATTTAGTGTATTATACTAACTATTCAGCTGAAGAAAAATCAGAAATAAAGCTATATTTTTTTTAAAAATAAAAGCTGTTCAATTAATTCTAGATTTAAATAGTTGCGACATACTGTAATATGCAATCTAGCATCTGAAAAAAGTCTTTTACTAGATACTAAAGTAGCTGATATTAATAAGTATTTATATGCAATTTGTATTAATAAAGGAAATTTTTTTTGAATTTTCCTTTTACCAGTTAAGAGAATCATATTTTTTGATATTTATAAATTCAAGTAAGTATCAACTTTATTATTCTCAATATTATCATTATTAATATTATCATCAAAAAGTGCAATAATAATAGAATTTGATGAATAGTTTTTATTTTTCTTCTCATGTTTATAGATGTCTGCCGAAACCTCCTCAAAATAATTTCGTTATACTCTTTTCTATGTTTTTAATATAGTTTCAACAGTTTTGGCTTTTGTCATATTGAATGGGTTTTGTTGTATCCCTTATTATGATTTTATTATAGTTTTGTTTAAGTTTCGATTGTTATTAAGGGGTTTCGTCTCTTATCTATACTCATGTTAGCAATTGTTGACATAAAAATGTAGTTGTACTCTATCTGATATTAGTATTATCAGTAGAATCTAAAGGATCAAATTCATTTGCTAATTGCTTATCAAAGTAAAGGTCACGTAATTTTTCAATTGTTTGAAATTTGATAGTATTGTCACTAACAAACTTGAGACTTTTTAATTAAGAATTTATAATTGCTGCTATTATTCCTATTAGTTTAAGTACTTGCTAATGTTCTTTCATATATAAGTAAATAGAAACTTATACCTTTTTTAAAAGACCTGTAATAATAACTGGATTTTTAATAAGTTATCAATTTCAAAATCTAGAATCTGCATTTATTCTTCGTCTACTTTTTGTATTATTAATTCTTATTCTTCTATATCTTCTTCTCTATCCTCTCTTTTTTCTTCTTAAACCTCTTAATAGAATTTTAACAAGTCTTAATTCAATTATAGAATTTCGTAATAATTCATAATCTGAATCTATTTCATTTTCTTGATTACTAATTTTATTTGTAACAATACCTTAATTATAATAAATAAATTTTAAAATTAATATTTACAATACAGTTAAAATTATAAGCAATAAAATTTTATATTTTGCAATTATCTCTATTATCTTTATATTTAATTTTATTAGCTTGTATAGGATTGTAAATTAAATCAAATAAGTCATTTTCAGATTCTCTATTTTTAAAAGTAAACTTGCTTATTAAGTAATGTATTATTAGATACACAAAATTTAGGATAGAGTATTTGAACCAGATAAAAGGCTCATAACATCTAAAAATAGTTTTAAAAGATTTACTAAATCTTGTAATAAACTTAAAAAATTAAAAATTATTTCATTAAAATAAGTTTTAATTAACATTAATTAACATTTTTTGACAAATAATTATTAATACTTACATCTACTTTGACTCCGTAAGTGATATTAATTTTAAATAATTACTATCGTCTTTATCATCTTTTATATAAGCTAAATGTAATGTATTTTTAAGCCATTTTATAGCAACCTTTAATTCTAATAATCTTATTCATACAAAATATAAACGATTCTATCATATATGTATATTTTGAATTATTTCAAGTATTTTTGAATATCCTTAATTTTCTTATGCTTCTTTTAATCATTTTATTTGTTTTAGACTCAAAGTAAAAGAAAAGAATAAGATTATTAATTCTTTTAATAAATTTCTTTATTAATGCTAAACTTTTTGTAATAGTAAAATATAATGTATGTGCAGCACAACCTATATTTTCAATATTATTCATTAAAGAAATTGCATTTTTGACATTTGGGCTATTATCTATTGTAGCTGCAAAACACTTATCTTTTAAATTCCAATTTTTAAGAATATTATTTAAGCAATTTTTAATATTTCAGATGTATATGAATTAGATAATAATTCTATACTAATCAATACTTCGTGTAATTTTATTTTTTAGTCTAACCATAAAATTGTTATACTAATATAACCATTATTTTGATGATAAGTCCAAAGATCTATTGTAATATTAATGCTATTTGCATTAGATTTTAATAATTCCTTAAGATTTTCTTTTGTTCAATTATAACTATTGCATATCATTCTTTGCTTTTTTTTCAGTTGGTATTTTAAATTCTAGTTCAAATTCATGAAGCATATTTCAAAATGCATCATTCCGAAGAATATTTAATGGTTGATAATCAACAATAATAAAAGTTATAAAAGACTGTTCCAAAGATAATTGACGCTTTATAGTAATATATTTCATTATTATTCTAATATTACCATCTGTATTAACTGGCTCTTCTGAATGATTTTTATCAATTCTATGATCTCTTCAAAGATGTCTTTAAGCAGTAATAGTCGAAGTACCTTTTATTCACTTATAACATTTTATAATACTTTTATTTTTACATACTTGATAAACAAGATATAACTGTTTTTCTCTTTATTATACTTCTCAAAATAGTAGTCCCAAATAATACTTGAGTTTTCTCTTTTACGTTTATTATTAGTTTCATCTATTTTTTGAAATGAAAATTAAACAAAGAATAAAATGATATTGATTTACTTTATATTGATTGTATTACGATTCACAAATTTTAATATAAAAAATTAATTTAAATATATTATAATATATTTTTTTATTTTAAATAAATATTTAAGTTTAAAAATTAAATCTTTAAAATAAACCAATTTGAGTTTTAAAACTGATTTTTATATTGAAAACTGGTTATTAGATTTTTAAAATTATTTTAAAACTGGTTACTAAATAAAATGGATTAAAACTGAAGATTGTAAACCAGTTTTGGAGCACTAATTAGAGTGATAATACTGGATAAGATATTTGTTTATAATATCTTCTCTTTATACCATTTTAAAACTTTTAATCTTAAGCTAAAATGAATAATAATAATATTAGATAATAATTCTCGTTACTATTGAAAAAAATTAATATTAATAATAAATTATTAGAAAGAATAATACAATATTATTCCTCAAAATAGATATTTTTAGAAGTCAATAAAGCTAAAACTTTAATAGATTTTCATCATACACAAGTAATCAAAAATTTTATAAAAATTTATTTTTATAATTTATTTAAAATTTGTATTTTTAATATTTTATTAGATATCACAAGCAATAAAATGATATATTAAATTGGAAAATATAATTAAATTAGGTAATAATATAGAAATAGTTAAACATAATATTACTGGAACAAAAGTTTCTAATTTATTACTAAATTGTAATCAAGATATTTGAAAATTTTATTGAATAATAACTTTCAATTATAGTAATATTATTTATATTTTTATAAAAAATGAAAAATTAAGACAATAATTAAAATTAAAATTTTCATGAATAGATATGATTAGATCAAGAAGAGGATATAGAATCTATATATGCTAGAATTTTACCTAGAATTGGAGAATGGAAAAAATGTTTACCTATTTAAATTAAAAAAAATTAAAAACAAAAATATATAACAAATCTAATTTGCATTATTCTACTCATACAAAATCGTCTAAAAAGTAAATGTTGCTAATTATTACTAAAGTAATAAATAAATTTTATTTATTTTTATATATTTTAGATAATTAAATTACATACTAATGCTATTTTATTTATTTATTATAAATTAGTAAAATTAGTATGAATAAATTTACATTGAAAAATTTTTTATATGTATATTTATAAATAAAGACTAATAAATAATATATTTTGAATTCAAATACAATTATTAATAATACAATAAATTTGAATATATAAAGGTAATAAATATTTTATATAAAATAAATCCATTCATATATTGATTGTATTAATTAAATATCTGAATGGATTTTAAAATCAAATAGCAAGAATTATAAACAATAACCATGAAAATGAATATCAAGAAATATAAAATCTTTATTGGAAAATATGTTTCATATCGGAACAGCTAATCAAAATCATAAATTTTTGTCCCTTTATTAATGAATTGCAAGAAATATTCACTAAACTTATACAACGCTCTCAATCTGAAGAATTGGATGAAAATGATATATCTAAAGTTTCTACTATTCAGAATTGGATTACTGGTTTTTCACGAAAATGGAAAAAAATTATGGCAATGCATGAATTAAAAGTAAAAGAAAATATATAAAATTATTTTTTGTTTAAAAATTCATCATATTCGATATTTTACTTAGCATTTAAAGATTTTCATCATGCGATTTTTAATATATATTAAGATTTTTTTATATTTGTAACACTTTGCCGATCTTAATTTTTTATTATAATTTCACTCTAAACTTATATAGTAATTTTCTGCCGATCATACACGAATCAGGCCTTAACCAATCAAATTAGGGAATGTGACTATGTTAGTAAATTTTTAAATTTCGGAATGATTAATGAGCATAGATGACGTGAACCATATTTGCGCTTTTTTTTCTTCTTAAGCTAAGGCAGTCAATTTTGAAATAACTCGATGTGAATTCAATAGACTTAAAAAGTTAAATTAGGAAACCATGTTTGAATATTCGTGATTTTTTCGAGAGAGGTGTTCCAGTAATTTTGCCAAAACAGCCCCCAACCTCAATATTGGAATGTTCTTCTCGGTCCTTTTCCTTTCGCTTTCTTCTATGTGCTCGAGCATGGGATAAAGCGATGTCATTTGCTTTATTGCATATGGAGTTGAGGGTAGACTATAATCGCGTAAAAAATTGCATTATACAAATTTATAAAGCAGTAACATGATAAACCAAAAATTACCTTAACATTTTTCATTTCTACGTAAAACTTTTCTAGACATGCAAGTGTTCTTATAGAATTGGGCAAGGTTGTTGTGCACAACTTCCCATACCTACAAATGTTTGTCCCTTTGCAATCCATAGCAAGGATCTGATGTGTCCAGCCTTTGAAACAAAAAATATATGTAAGTATTTATGAATAAAGCTTAGTTTGTGTCAACTATCTACTTACCCCATGACTGGACTCCGAGAACAAATATTTTATGCAAATCTTCATCCGAGGCGTTTGCATTAGAGTTGAAAAATGCGTGGAGAATATCCCTCATCGTTATGGATAAGTCGAGGAAATCCGAAAAAATTTTTTTACGATGTGGTTCTGGGAGACCACCACTTCGGAGGCCTGTTATCGCTTCTAATTTATTTATACTGTGTTTTAACGTTCCTCGAAAGTCACATTTTTGCCCCACCCGGGCACGGAGTGTAATTGAGCGACCTTCGTTACGTCGTCGAGCCGAAGCCCAGGAACAGATCTCTCCCCTAAAGAAATACGTGTGTGAATATGAAAGGGATTGATGAACAAAACGATCATGCAATTATAATTTCTTCAACTTACGAGTCCATTTTCAATTCGGTCTTGTCGAGAAATCTTCTTGTGAGCATGTTTGTAAATGAATTATCAAAAGCAGTCTCCGAAATCGGCAGATCAACATCGGCCAGGTTTTCCGCACTATGAAAAAGTGTCCAAAGTGAAATTCAAACTGTAACAAGACAAAAAGTCCATACTTTATCTCACTTACTATGTCAAGACTGCTCTCTTGATTTCATTCATATAGGCTTTATCTTGTTCACCGAGTGTGATCTCGTGCTTTGCTTCTATTTTCTGCGAAGAAATCCCGTCAATTTCCGTTACAATATCCTCACTCTTCTCATTATTCTTTATTATCTGAAACGAATGAATAACATGAGCAAAATCTGAATGTAATAGAACATCGATCATCATTAGTTACCTGCTCAATTTCATCGAAAAACAAATATACAACGTCAGGTATATCTTCTTCAATAGTTTCTATTTCGTCTTCGAAACTTTTCAACATCTCAGTCCAATCTTCCGTAGAGAAGAGTTGTTTTGTTTCTGAATGAGTCCCGGTGAGATCGAGGATTCCCCAGTAAACAGGACTATTTAACAGAAAAAGTCCATGAAATATGAGCATTGTTAAAAGATGCAATCACTAGTGAAAAAACTCACTTGACGCATTTTTGTGATTCAGGAATTAGGTATAAATAAGAGGTCAACACTTGACCCACATCGGTCCCACTTGATAAAATCCATCGTTTGGTCCGACCTATAGTTTCCGGTTCATGTCTTTCAACAAATTTGAAGTCTTCATCTGGGACGAGGATATCATCATTCATTGTAGCAAATGAGCCACTGTCTTCATCTTTATCGTCCTCATCTATATCGACATCATCTTTATCGTCCTCATCTTTATCGGCTTCATCTTTATCTTCATCTTTATGATTATTCACACTAAATTCCTCCTTCTCATCTGCACACTTCTCTTCTTCTTCTTCATCGTCTAAATCAAGTATTGTAGAATTATTAAACGTCGTTTGCGTTGTTGCCAGTGTGCCCTGCAATAAAGATTTTCCGAAATCTCATTAAAGTACGATGAATGTCAAATCAAATTAAATTTATCACTAACCTGATTTTTTATGCGTATGTTAAACCTATTTTGCACAGCCATATTGGTGTTTTGGATCGAACGGCTTACTAGAATCTGGGAGCGTAAACATAAATATTAACTTACATAATAAAGTAGATGAAGTCTGATCATACATACCGCTTTTCTTTCTTCTAACCACAACTCCCAGTCTTTTTGAATTTCAGCCTATTTAGCAGGAATAACATATTTATAAACTATTGAAACAGTATATAAAATTAAAAAATAAGCCTACGTTAAACTTTTCATTCGCTCTCTGTAATCTTTCTTTCACATCATCTTGACAGAGATTCAAGGCTGATTCTAAGATTCTACCATAAACCTCAAAAGCCCGAGCTCGATGCATAGGAAAAGTGAATCTAAAAAAGGCAAGAGGGCTCGGATCAGGAGAATTGAGCATCCATCTTAAATTTTTTTCTTTCGTACTGGTAACCGTTCTCTTTGAATTGTTTTGCATTATTACTTACGTAGTTGAAAATTCACGTCAGACGCGTATTATATTCCATTTCCATTTACACAAGATCACGTGAGAACATGTACGCCTTTCTTAAAAGAGCAAATTTAAAACCTAAACCCCTGGTACATTTTGACACTCTTAATCTCTCATTTCAATCAAGTAAGTTTAATAAATATTTTCTTTCTGAATATATCAACATTTCTGTTAAGCGTAAAAGAAGCGTCTGCGGCAGACTTATTCTGTCGGAAGCCAGTAATGGCGAGTCATTATATTATATTGGCCGGCTAGATTTTATTGCACAGAATTGTTATGGGGTTATTTGTCACCCAAAGTGTCTGCGGCAGACTGATTCTGTCGGAAGCCAGTGATGGCGAGTCATTATGAGTAATGGCCGGCTTATGAGTGAGAATAGCTCACCCATAAATTGTTTAACTAGCTTTTATTTAAATAAGATACTAATAGATTTTTTTTTTTATTCGATTTCTCCGCAAATTGTACATGAAAAACACGAGACTATCTTACAGCAAGACACTTACACATGATGAGAAGCGAACTGAGGTTTTCTTTGATACACCTACCGGAGATAATTTTCTACGATATAATTTTCTAACTTATGAGTTTGGAAAAGATTTCAACTTTATCTAAGTTCTGCAAGAGAACTTTCCTAAGATTAGAATCTGCAGTGTAAATTCGGGATTAGCAATTGAGGCAAAAAAAAAATAAATTATTACAATATTCCACTTCACCTCATTTAAAAAAGTCATTGCTTAACGCATAATTAAAGATTTTTCCTTTTTTTTGTCGTAAGAAATTCACGAACATTTAAAGTAAGTAGTACTTGCTTGGACTCTACGAAGAATCTGGCTGGCAAATATACTTTTATTATTTTATTAGACGGCACTAATGTATAGAGGCGGTGGGAAAAAAAAGAGTTTAATTGGAGAAGGCTTTATGAGGAGTTTTCTACCGAGTTTTGGTTAAAGCCTGGTAACTATGCTCTTGGGAAGTGGATGCCCTCCATCAAAATAAATTATTATTAACATCATCCTATTTTAATTTTGTTAGAACTACCATTCGAACGAACACATAATGAGAACGTTAGGAGGTTAAGCAGGGCGAATTCAGCAACATCAACACCACATGTAGAGGCGTCTATGGTACCCTCAACCTCAACAATTTCTAGAAACGGGTGAACGATCAAGTTCCTTTCTGAGCGATCAGTTACCTCTGATAACTCACCTGAGGGATCATCAGTTGTTGTACAGTCCGAGGATTCGCCTGAGGTGTCAAGACCAGTAACACCTTCTGTAGAAACACCTGCGGTTTCTAGGGTTAACTTCCCTCCTTTTCACAAAGTGCGAATGTTATTAATGTCATTATAAATAATAATTACGCTGGGTTTCGGGTGAGCAACCGGATTAGGATGTTTTTTTATTGATGTAACAATACTAGCTATTTTTTCATAATTGTAATTAATACTTAACTGATTCATGTAGTCACTTTTGTGGGATGGCAGATATAGTATGTTAGCGTACATGTATTGCGATCAGTATATAAATAAAATTTTATTTTTATCGACGCTACCACAGTTGATTGTGGCTGTGAAACAAGGCAAACATTGGTTACAAAATCACTAGGCGAAACGCATTTAAAAAATGAAAAGTACTTTTATTGTAAATTGGCTGGCCAGTTGAAATGCTTCAGAAACATAACATATAAGAGTTTGACATAAGTTTAGTTATATTCCCTTCAATCGTTTTCCGAATTTCATCTATTATGGTCTTACTAATCAATTAGGAGGAAGAAGACTGTATAGGATAATTTAGCTAATTAAAGAACATTTCTATTGAAAACAATTATTCTAGAATAAACAGCATATCATTATATGTATAACAAATAGACATAAAGACATAAAAAAATAAAATTTATGATATCTTATGCTTTGGAACTTTTGTTTTTATGAAGTTAATTTCATTATATATATCACTGTTTCACAAGCATAGCAAAATTATACCAAATCTTCTCTTTTTTCTCCATTTCTATGATTGTTCAATAAATTATAGTCTGTTATATGCGTTTTGGTATTTTTCTTTTAAATGCATAAATAGAATATTAAATAAATTTTTTTTTAAGAATTTCTTGATTAAATTGTTTATAATTTACTAATTATTAATTTTTAGATTCTTTACCGAATAGTAATAGAAAAATACAATTTGAATTAATATGTTTTTTGATATTTAATATTCAAATTGACAGTATTACAAGTTTAGTATTATTAAGATAAAAGGACTTAAATTGCTAAATTATCAATCTTTATTGGTTTGTTTAGCTATAACCAAATTTTCTTTTAATGAAATCTATTGATTTTATATAAATTTACAAAATATTAAAAAATTAAATATTTTTTATTATGAAAAATATTTATTAAAAAGCATTGAGGAAACACAACTTAAGATAATAAAAGAGGTCTTACACATTTACTATAAAAAAGATAATAAGCTAGTTACTGAATATACTAGTTATGCAAAAATTTTATGTCAAGAAAAAATTCTTAATAAGTATATAAAATCAACTGTTATAATGTTATTTTCAAATAAAGATGTCTATAAAAGAAAAATGAGTAGAAATCAGAAATAGTATTAAAGTAAAAAAGAACTTCTTATTAGTATTAAAAACTTATACAACCTTTTCTATATTTTGTTCAAAGAAGAACGTCTTATGTCTAAAGAAGAAATTAACAAAATAATAGAAGAGCTAATTGCAGATGAAGCTAAATAAAATTTAATTGCAAGCATCACTGAAGTGGATACTTAACATCATGAAAAACAATTTGAAGTTCTTCTCTTATAAAAGATCTTTCAGAATTATTACCTTTTTCATCTACCAGCCAATATAAAATAAGCTGATTTTTTTTACACTAAATATTCACAGATTTGATAAATCTTAGAAGACCAATTCATATCAGTAGCATGTTTTTTCTTACCCTTAAACTCACTCAGATCAAGCAAATATATAACAAAATTGTTATAAAATAATCTTTTTTTATCATATTTATAGGTCTATTTTGAGGTTTAAAAGGTTTAATAAATCCTTTTCTTTTTTATAACATCTGCGAAAGAAATATCAAATAAGTGGATTATAAAATTATTTTTATTATTAACAATAATAGGAAAATTTTTCATTCAAATGCGAAATATTTTAAATAAATATAATATTAATAATTTATATATGTTTTGAGGGTTAAATAATTTCTCAACTAAAGTTTAATTATATCTTTCAACAATATCTACAAAATGCTTAAATTTAACTTTCTGAAATTTTGTATCATGTTCTTTTAATATCTTATTACATTTACTTTTAAACTCTAAATCCTTATCTAAAATCAATAATTTCAGTTATATTAGAGAATACTCAGGATCATTATAAAATTTTTAGCAATAATAGATAAAGTTAAGATACCTTTTCTATTTTTAATACTCTTAACACTAATAGAATAGATACTTTATATCTTGAAGCTATATCTACTACATTAAGATAAAAAAGATAGGTAATATATTCAACTTTATTATAAGGCAAATAAATAATATTAACTTGATAAATTTTATTAGAAATAGTAATAGTATTAAAATTTACTTGTGAATAAGGTTGCTTGTCTAAACTCATTTTAGATTTGACAAAACGTTTAAACTATAATTTTACAGATTTTTTAATAAGGTTTTAATATAATTTTGCTAAATTTTATCTTTTTTATTTAGACGACTTATAAGATTTTTAGGTTTCATTTAGTAATCTTACTCGTAAGATATATATAAAATAAAATTTATATAATAGATGCAATATTTATCTTTCAAGCTAATCATTCATTTTAGCTAAAGTAAAATTATACTTAGCCTTTTAAGAGACTTTATTATTTCTTAAACTGTAGAGCAGGCAAATTTGCCTGCGAACATATTAATTTTTTAATAAAAAATAAAATATTAATGTTAATAATATAATTATTATATAAAAAATATAGTTTAATATAT